AAATTAGAATTTGCATCTCTTTACATCATTATACCTCAAAACATCTAAAATGTTAACTAGAAAAACCCTTTAAATTATGAATTCCCAAACATAAACACCCATAGGTGTGTTAACACAGACAGGTACACAGACACACCCTAAGAGTAATGAGAAAAAGTATAACAGATTTATACACTCAGAAAAATGTTTAAATATATTCATACAAATATAATGTACACACACCTCTCTCAGAACAACTCTACCTACATTTACCCCAACACTATTTTCTGTATTGTGTTAAAACAAATGTTTCAAAAATTCTTTAGTGAATGAGATTTTGTATTCATATTAGCACCTGACATTTATTTAATGTTCATAAATGCAAAATTTTATAAGATACCAACACTGAATTCTTAATAATTTAGAGCTGTCATCTCAAATATTAATTATTTTAACTAAGCTGAAATAAAGTCTTGCCTTCAAGGGAAAGAATAATACAAATAACAGTAATGATAGCAGACCTTTACTAGGGCCACCAACTAAAAAAAGCACCTTATCAAAATAGATATTTACACAGGGATTCTTTTGGAGCAATTAATGCCTACCTGAAATCGCCTCAAGCAGGCACGATTGTGTGTATATGCATGCATGCTTTTTTCTATTTTATTTCCTAGTGTCCTTCCCTGATGACTGTCAGAAACTTCTTCATAGTATATTTGTCTCTAGAATTTTTGTGCCATATCAACTAGATTAGAACTATATTTCAATCAATATTTTAAAAATTTTATCAGCGATCAATCTCAGAGAAATGGTCTGATGATTTGTACTACGAGCTTTAGGACATGAACTGTACGGCAAACGCATTACTTCCCTAAATTCTAAAGCAAGATTTTAAGATATATCACTGATTAGTAACAGCACTGCACATGGAAAACTAACATAACACTGATTTTCCTTTTCTTTGTTCAAAGTAGAAGTGAGAAAAAAATTAACTGATATAACAGTTCTTCACAGCAACTTGAGCAAAAAAGATAAAATCTGAGTTTGACAGTGTATCACAAAATTCTTGTAACAAGAAAATAAAAGCAGATGTTCTAACAGTTTGCTTGAAATGGATCTTTATTCCAGACCCCACAGGTTTTACAAAAATGGTACCATTTCTCAAGGGCACTGAATTATTTATAAATCACCACAATTTCTGCAACTACTATATGTCAAAACTATTCAGAATTCTCAGCTAATCCAAAACCCTTACTTTATATTTGATTAAATTTGAAACTGGCAACATTCAATGTTATTCAAGGGCCAATAATTAACTGAAGAAAAGCAGGGATTAGAAGCTAAACTACTGGGTTCAGGGTTCAGATGTCCTCCCTCCACTGTCTTCTTCTTCATTGAAGCTGTATCTAATTACAATAGTAGTAATGACGATAATAATAGTTGCTATGTACTGAGTTACTACAATGTGCTAATAGTGGCTATATTCTGTCTCGAGTCCTTTCAACAATCCAGAAAGGCAGGTATCATTACCTCCATCTTTAAAATTGGAGGGAAAAAAAAAAAAAGCTCAATGGAATTAAGAGTTTTACTCCAAGTCACACCTGCTGGGTTTTAGATACCCTGAGCCTTCCCTTGCCATATATGAAACATGCACTCACACTGCAGAGTCTTTGTAATTGCTAAGTTCTGTTCTAGAACACTCTTATTTCAAATACCTGAAGGATCTTCACATCACTTCTTTGAAGTCTCTTATCAAATGTGACTTGTCAGTCTTTTCTTCACCACCAAATAAATACATACCTTCCTTCCCCTTCTCACGTTTACAGTTCACATCTCATCTTTCGTCCATTGCCTTATGTTCTCCATAGCATTGTTTCCAACTAGAAAAGGTATATATTTACTTATTGTCTTTCTTCCCTAGAACGTATGCTGCATAAGGACAACTTTGTCTGTTTGGCTCATCAGTGCCTAGGAATAGGGCCCGGCTCTTCATAGGTATTCGATATATTGTTTAATAAATGTGTGAATGGCTTAATGAATGTATGCAAATTCTCCTATTTCCCTTAAGAAGCACAGATGTATTCAGAGTAATATTTCAAATACAAAAAACTAGCAAGGTATACTGCAGAGGCTCCAGCTCCACAAGGCTAACAGATGGCCACAGCCTCAGAAGATAAGATACTCCCCAAAATGCCAGGACCATTGTATTAGTCCGTTTTCAAGCCTCTAAGACATACACGAGACTGGGCAATTTACAAAACAAAGAGGTTTATTGGACTTACAGTTCCACATAGCTGGGGAGGCCTCACAATCATGGCGGAAGGCAAGGAAGAGCAAGTCACATCTCATGTGGATGGCAGTAGGCAAAGAGAGAGCTTGCGCAGAAAAACTCTGGTTTTTAAAATCATCTGATCCCATGACACTCATTCACTATCACAAGAACAGTCCAGGAAAGATCCGCCTCCATAATTAAATCACCTCCCACCAGGTTCCTCCCATGACACGTGGGAATTGTGGGAGTTACAATTCAAGATGAGATTTGGGTGGGGACACAGCCAAACCGTATCAACCACCATCAGTACTGTATTTCTTCTTTGAGGAAATACTTAACTCAAATCACCTATTTTTTTAATTGAATTGTTTATCTTTTTGTTGTTGAATTTAAGAAGTCCGTTATATATCCTAAATAGCAAATCCTCATTAGATATATGATTTGCAAATATTTTCTACCACTCTATACACTGTCTTTTCATGTTCACGATAATGTCCTTTGATGCGTAACATTTTAAAATTTTTATGAAGCTTAATTTATCAATTTTTCCTCATTGCTCATCCCTTTTGTATCATATCTAACAATCCATTGCCAAAACCAAGCTCATGAAGATTTGCCTCTGTATTTCTCAATGACTTTATCAATTTAGCTCTCATATATAGACGTTTAACCCATTTTGAGTTAAATTTTGTATATAATATAAGGTAAGAATCTAATTTCATTCTTTTGCATGTGGAAATCCAGTTGTCTCATTATTATTTGTTGAAAAGACAAATGGTCATTTTTAAATAGAGATAGTTTTACTCCTTCCCTTCTAATTTGAATGTCTTTTATTTCTTTTTCTTATCTGTTTTCACCGTTGACTGAACATGTCATCCTTGTCAAAAAACTACTTAGCCATAGCAGTATGGGTTTACTGTAATCCCAGCACTTTGGGAGGCCGAAGTGGGCGGATCATGAGGTCAGGAGATCAAGACCATCCTGGCTAACACAGTGAAACCCCATCTCTATTAAAAATACAAAAAATTAGCCAGATGTGGTGGCACATGCCTGTAGTCCCAGCTACTCGGAAGGCTGAGGCAGCAGAACTGCTTGAACCCAGGAGGCAGAGGTTGCAGTGAGTCAAGGTCATGCCACTGCACTCCAGCCTGGGCGACAGAACGAGACTCCAACTCAGAAAGAAAGAAAAAAAAAAAAACAGTATGGGTTTATTTCTGGACTCAATTGTACTCCATTGATCTCTGTCTATCCTTATGCCAGTACCACTGTTTTGATTACTGCAGCTCTGTGATAAGTTTTGAAACTGGGAAGCCTGAGTATTAAGACTTTGTTGTTCTTTTTTAAGGTTGTTGTGGCAATTTGAAGCCCCTTGAAATTTCATACAAATTTGGGGATTAGTCCTTACATTTCTGCAGCAAATTTTATAATTCTCATGGGGATTATCTTGAATCTATAGATCATTTTGGGTAGTATTGACAGTTTAACATATCAAGTCTTTCTACACAAGTTTCTGCTATGTAGAGGGCACTAACCACAGAAAGTACCAAAAAAATAAAAAAGAAAAAAAGCACTTCTTCTGACATATAGTTGGCCCTGTATCTGCAAATTTTGCATCTGTAAATTCAACCAACTCAGACTGAAAAATATTCAGAAAAAAAGTTTTTTAAAAAAATTATACAACAACAATAAAAAATAATACAAATTAAAAAAATATATAGTATAGCTATTTAGATAGCATGTACATTGCATTAGGTATTATAAATAATCTAGAGATGATTTAATGTAAATGGTGGGGAGAATACACATGGGTGATAATCAAATATTTTGCCATTTTATATAAGATTTGAGCATCCACAGATTTTTATATCCATAGGGGGCTCCTGGAACTAATCTCACGCCGATACAGAGAAACAACTGTAACTCAATTTTCTACAAGTATCTGTTACTTAATAAATGTATTTATATTTAACTTCTTCAGAAAATTAATTTATTTCTCATACCTCCCTTTAAGCTCTACCACCTTAACTTGCTTTTTCTCCAGATCACATTTCTACCTAATATTACTTTATGTAATTATTCCTTGCATTTCTTCATTCCCCTAAAATGTAAATTCCATGAAGGTAAGAACTAAGTTTTATTCACAGCTATAACCCCAGGACCTAGAACAGTATCTGATATATACTTAGTTGTCAGCAGTTGTAGAATTTTGTAGTTTGTTTCCCATTTACTGCTCCAGACTGTTCTAACCAACCACAGGCTTCAGATGAGATCTACTTTTGTCCCTAAGTGTTACAAAGTAGCCCTTCCAAGCTTACCATGATTATTTGAGGGCTACATGGAGAAAGAATTCCCCCTGTGTAAGAACAACACCTAGTTAACAAGTACATCTATGTAACAAGTAACATGTTGAAAGCCAAGTTTTAAGACAGTTAAGCTGCTAAGATGTTTAAGTCACATAAGTGAAACTAGAAGCAGGAAGACCAGTTAGCTACTGCAATGGTCTAGGTATGAGAGTAAAGGGCCATGAAGTAGAATAGAAGAAATGGGAGGGAAAGGGAAGGGATATTTGGGAAAAACTTTGCTAGAAGAAAGACTAACTTTTCATTCTATAAATTTTCATACTACTACTAATGTACTACCTGTCAGAAATCATTTATATGTATGTGTGTACATACACACACATATATATGAAGTCACATATTTGTATATTACAGGGAAAAAGTAGAAATAGTTTGCTTATACTATATACCTTGTAGTCCAATCTGCAAAACAGCTGTTTTATTTCCACGATAAGTTAAAGAAGAGATAAGTGAAAGTTTTCCCTGAAATGAGAAAAAAAAATAGTTACAAAGAAAAGTCAAATGAGTTTATAATGAAACCAAGATATAAATAAAAATTAGAATTTTTATAGCAACAGTTTTATCTTTCAAGAAGTCAAAGTACTGTGTTCAGGTAACTATTTTAAGACAAGGAACAGTGCTGAATTCGTTTTTCTAGGGAAAAATCAGGTCTACAAATACTTCAAGGTTTATAATATAATTTCTTAAGTAATCCTATTAGGTAGGTACTATGAGTTCCTTATTTTGCCAATAATTAGATCAACTTTCCCTGGCTTTGTTTTAATCTGTAATATTGTTCTCTAAAAAATAATAAAATGATGTTTGCTCCTAGAAAGAAATGAAAACTTAATAAAGATTTAGAAATGCAAAACAGAAATATCATAAATATAGTGTGGACAAATCTACAGATTAAGACGTAAGTACAGTTTAGTCTTTGTTCAGCTTCTGAAACTAACCAGCTCTGTCAGTTTAAAAAAAGTTATTTGAGTCTCAGATAAAATGAACTGTTTAATCTGGTTTCTGTAAATAAAATTTAAAAATAGATCCTATTAGCCTCCCAGGTTAATATTCCAGACTTTGATACAGCTAACAAAAAACACATCAATTTTACTTATAAAATAGAACTCAATTTTACTTATAGGAACATAAATAAAAATATGGTTATCAACAATGCATAATGATTTACAGTCAAAAGCAAAAGTAGTTACATTTAGAAGATAGAAAGCTGAAAAAAAGTAACAATGACAAAAAGTTAAACAATCTGTAAATCTCAAAACTTTTCTTGACCCAGAAGTGTTGAGGTGACAGGGCAACCAACTAAGCAGAAATCTGAGAAAAGCAGGGTACTTCTAATGAGAATAAAACAACTGTTTTATTTCTGTCATAAGTTAAAGAAGAGATAAGTGAAAGATTTCCCTGAAATGAAAAAAAAAAAATAGTTACAAAGAAAAGCCAAAGTTTATAATCACACCAAGATATAAATAAAATTTTTATAGCAACTTGCTTACCTAAATGACAAATGTTCCCAGATATCTGTAAGAAAAATTCATCTAACACTTTTAATGAATTGCTAGAGGCCAAGTATGGGGCAATGAAAACACATGGAGCCCCGGAGCTGCAAACACAGGGGAATTCATATTCATTTACATGCGCTTCTCCACAGACCTGACAAGGTTCAGGACAGAAGTAGGGCAATGGCAGCAGCAGTTACTGCACGAAAGGCAGGAAACTCTGCTTGGATCTTTCTCCTCTTTCTTTCAGAACAAAGGCCTTAAAATGCTGGGAGAAGGGCAAAAAAACATGTCAACCCACGACTATTGGTGGAAACCCACTGCAGCTGAAAGGCAAGAACAGAAAAAAAAAAACCTTCTATCCCTGTTAGGGGTGGGCAGGAACAGGTACATAGGTGAAAGGCCCAGACCTATACAGCTAGAGGCAAAGCAGGATCATTGAAAAGGCCCCACTCACAAGACCCGGGACCTACTGCTACCAAGACAGGCTTCATCAGTACAGAGAACATCTACCAATTAAAGGCTAACCAGTACCTAGTAAAAAGTAACATAGTCTACTACTGGAAGAGAAGACCTTGAGCAGGGAGAGAGACCTTATTTGAGGCAAAGCACAGAGGAAAGATCTAAAACTAAGGATGGGGAAGACAAAAGAAAAATCCTCTAGTCGACCAGCTCTGATCCTACATACAAAGTAACTTTAGAGGAATATGAAGCCTCTAGTGCATTGAAGAACCAACAACAACAAATCCCAAACCTAACTCTACCCCTGACTAGATGAACTCAATGCACCACACTAAAGGCCTAGCACAAAGAAAGACCTACACATGCCCAGAAATAAAAACTACCTCAATTTCCACTGTCCTACACAAGACGTATAGCTTTGAACAATAACAACATATGAGACATACAAAAAAGGCAAGAAAAAACACAAAGCAATCAAGAGAACCACAATCAATCAGATTAAATGACAACTTAATCAGGAGGGGTAAAGCTGAATAGCTGCCCTATATAAACTCCTAGATGCATCATTTCAACCTTCCTCACTGAGAGTACAAGAAATCCCCTTCACATAGCAGGAAGACATCTGGCCCTCACTGCATCGCTCTGAATGGGGAGAATGGGCAGGGAGTTATTGCTGAGATATGCTGAAATGGAGCAGTTGCTGAGAATAATATAATTATGTGGTGCTTAACAACAGGGATACATTCTGAAACATGCGTTGTCAGGCAATTTCATCTTTGTGTGAACATCAGAGTATGCCTAAACCAACCTACATGGTATAGCCTACTATACACCGAGGCTATACAATATAGCCTATTGCTTTTAAGCTATAAACCTGCACAACATATACTGTATTAAATACTGTAGGCAATTATAAGACAATTGTAAGTATGTATCTAAACATATACAAACCTAGAAAAGGTAGAGTAAAAACACAGTACTATGATCTTATGGGACGGACCACCATCATATATGCAGTGCATTGTAGACTGAGATATCGTATACACTGCATAACTGTGATAAGAGTCTGACTCTACAAATTCTGTTTGCTTTTAGGACAAAAATGAATTAGTATAGATATAAAAAACATAACACATCCTGTTATGGACTGAATTGTGTTCTCCCAAATTTCAGGTTGAAGCTCTAACCCCCAATAACTTTGAATTTGACTGTATTTGGAGACAGGGCCATTAAAGAGGTAGTTTGGTTAAAAAGAGGCCATTAGAATGTGCCCTAATCCAGTCTGACTGGTGACCTCAAAAGAGAATGGGACGTACAGAAAGATACCAGAGTCTCGGGCAAGCACAGAGAAAAAGCCAGGTGAAGACACAGCAAGAAGGTGAGCATCTGTAAGCCAAGGAGAGACCTCAGAAGAAACCAATCTTGCGGCCACTCTGATACTGATCTTCTAGCCTTCAGAACTATGAGAAAAATAAACGTTTAAGCCACCCAATCTGTGGTACTTTGTTATGGCTGACCTGACAAACAAATATACACTTCTTAAAAACTGGGGATTTTCTAAGCTCAGTGACCCTCAGATGTGCTACAAACTCCATGTGCACATTATGTACCTGGCCCTGCCCCCATGGGACTTGGGGAGGAAAGAAGAACCAGTGCAAACATGAAGTTCATGTTCCCTGCTGTGCCAATAAGTAATATACTACCTAAATCTATTTGGGTGCCTTGCCTCCTTAACAGCTGAATCTAGAGAAGTGTAGCATGTCAGCCTACGAGCTATATCATATACTGTTGCTTAGGAACTATTTGAACACTTGACATTTACTCAAATGAAATAAAAACCTATGTTCAGATAAAAATCTGTACATATATATTTACAGTTGTATTATTCACCATCACAAAAACTGGAAAGAATCCAAATATTCCTACACTGCGCAAGGGATGAATAGGCTGCAACAAAATTCTAATCACCAACAGAAAGAAATACTACTGAAAAAAAACAACCTGAAAGAATGTCAAATGCATCATACTAAGTGAAAGAAGCCAGATGCAAAAGGTTACATGCTGTATAATGCCATTTATATGACATTCTTGAAAAACAAAAATACAATGCCAGGAAATTGGTAAGCGGTCATGAGTGGTTAGAGTTGGCAAAGTAGCTAACTATAAAATTCTAGAAGGTGATGAACTACTTGATTGTGATTGTGGTTACATACACATTTGCACATATTTGTCAAAACTCATAGAAGTCTACACAAAAAACAGAATGTAGCACTAAAATCCATTTAATAAAATTCAAAAAACATTGACATCTGCAGATTAGAAAAGGGTATGTAAGTACACAATAGAGAGCTGAAAAATGATTCCAATATGTAAAAGAACACAAATACCTCAATCTTTTTTTTAAAAAAACGAGCATTCTACATAGCAATCTGTTAACCATGAGAAATACATAAAAGGTATTTCCTAGTTTTAGCCCTACTAGATACTAACATGTTCACTTATAGCTAAAAGAATTCGTTAATAAAAATGTTAAAATTGGACAGGGGTGATAGCTCATGCCTGTAATCCCAGCACTTTGACAGGTCAAGGTGGGAGGATTGCTTGAGGGTGCAGAGTTTGAGACCAGCCTGGGGAACATAGAAAGACCCTGCCTCTAGTAGGAACAAAAATAAAATAAGAACTTAGTAAGCTGTCATAGTATTTAACATCTCTATATCAAGCATACAAAACAATAAAAGTATGTCAAAATTAGATGCAGCTTGGAAATAATCCTTATCAATGATATGTCAAAAAGGAATCAAATCATGGCACTTTATTAATAAATACAAGTATACAAGAAATATCACACTAATTGACCAGATGTAAAATACGTTGAGAATGCTAACAAGCATTTGATAATAATTTAAATGCAATTAAGTAGAAAAGACCAACTGTAATTCATAACACTTCATTTAATAAGAAAGAAAATTCCAGGAAAATAAATAGAAATAAAAATTAAAAAGAAATAGGTGAGTAAAATGTGTTACAAACAAATGTCTACATGAAAAATATAGACAAGCAAAACTGAAATGTAGATTTCTTTTTATTATCAGATATATTTTATCCCTCACTCCCTCAACTAAAATTAAAACACTCACTAAAAATGCATCCAGAATATTGGATATGGCAGACAAAAGGTTCAGTGAACTCAAAGAGAGAGCAACAGAAATTACTCAACTGAAAATCCTCTCTGCCACACAAATAAAACACAGTAAAAGAGAAAGGAACAGAATCTCAGAGATCTGTGTTACAGTATTAAACAGCCTAATACGACATACACATGTAATTGGCATCCCAAAAACAGAAAAGGGTAATAATGTGGCAGAAAAAAAAATATTTCAAGAAATATTATCCAATAATTTCCCAAATTTGATGAAAAACACTGAATAAATCCAAGAAGCTCACTTACCCACAGAGAAGAAATTCAAAGAAAAAGCATACTTAAGCACATGCCAGTCCAACTGCTTAAAC